AAACAATTTCAATCAACACATTTTGGGAACTATGTCATGGGAAAAAGATGTGGTGTTGACTATAATACACCAGTCTAGACTCTTGGAACTCACAGTCTGCAGAGTTCCATGGAGGGGGTCACTGCACATGCGACAAGGCCGTTAAGTGGCAGCCGGCATCTGCAGCAGCTCACTTGCTGCCTTTTCTCCCCAGCTCCATTTTTGTTCCCACCCCACATTGTGTTGGGCACAAGGGAAGCATGTTCAGAAAACCAGTTTCAGTAGTGTTAAAAGTTTGACAGCATTCTGAAATGTCAGTGGTTATTGTTGATGCCATGGTCTTTGCACAGAAAGCCTGTTTTAATAAACAACAAAAACACTGAGTATTTCGTAACTCAGTCCCAGTCCACACATGCTGAGGGATAAAAAATAGTTTTGCTATAGTAGTATTCATTAAACATTTGTGTATGTTTTTAATTCTTTGATTTTTGTAGACTCTATCAGAAGTAAACAGACATCTGATTAGGGTCCAAAATGTAGTCCAGCTTCGTTGCCCAGATGAGGAAATATGTTTCTCTTCAAGGTAAGTAGCAGTCTTCTTAGCTGCAGACTCTGTAAAAGCTGTGACTCTTGCTCATCTTGTGTCCTTGGTATTTATTATAAATTGTTGCTCTGAACAAAAACGTCACACACCTGTCTGCAATAGTGTAAAGTACTGCACCATGACTGCAGTCCTGGCAGCTTCTGGGTAAAATGGGAGAAAAGAAATGGTCTCTAGAGCCCGGGAGATGGCTCAGTGGAATAAGTGCTTGTCTGGCAAGTGCAAGGTCCTGAGTTCGATCCCTGATACCACCAAAAAAAAAAAAAAAAGGAAAAGAAAAAAGAAATGGTCTCTATCAAGACCAAACTCCTGAACCTCTATGGGCTGGTTAGTTTCCGCCCCCCTGAGATAAGATCCAAGTGTTGTGGATTTCACATGAATGATCTACTTAACTGTGAGGAGGGAACCCATTTATTAGCCTCAGATAGTTGTTGACCATAGTAGTAAAAATGACCTCGCTGTATCTAGTTTGCACAGGGCTCAGAATAGTGCAGGAACAAAAAGCCAGGCGCCAACACCTCAAAATGAGGGCCCCATGCTTCCCGCAGAGCAAACATGGACATGTTTTTCTGCAAAGGGTCAGAGAGTAAATCTTTAAGATTTTCTGGCCAAATGATCTCTGTGACAGCAGCCTACCTTTGCTGTTGTAATCACAAACACAGCTCATATGTGATACAGAAGAAATAATACACTATTCATAAACAATATGATGCATAAGTGAACAAGTGCAGCTGTGTCAATAAAATTTCATTTACAGAATCAGGTGTTACACCACAGCTTGCTGATATCTGCTTTAGTAAACTGCCAAAGTACATTTTCATTCCTAATGGCAAAGAATGACTTCACATATAGCATCCAAATGGAGGGAAATTAACTCCTTTAACTCGTCCAACTGCACTAAAGATATATACATGAAAACCGAATTACAGCATCACTTGTCACACTGTCCAAGCTTTTTGTTTTCTTTTTTTGCACTGTTTCTGTTTACTAGCAGCCAAAGAGGGAACCTGAGAGAAATTAGTCAGAAGTTGCTTAGAAGCAAGTGATTTTAAACACACTGGTATGGTAGGAGGCATGCTAAGAATTATTCTAGCTTCTGAACATTGTTCTACCTTTGTATTCCTTCTATAACATTTGTCCTTTCTTCATGTGAATCTGAGTTCCTATTCCATTTTCCCTCTATCTGTAGCACTTCTAGCATTTTTTGTAAGGCAGGCCTACGAGCAGCAAGCTTTCTTTTTGAGGAATTATTTTTCCTTCACATTGGAAGGAAAATTTTGCTGGCTACAGAATTCCAGACTTTGTTTTTCTTTCAATTATCTCAAAACTTTATTTTACTCTACTCTGTTCTTGCTCCAGTGGTTCTCAAGTGAAGCTCAATGTAGCTGTTACCACCAGACTGTGTTTATTGTAGTTTCCAGTAACAGGTT